GAAGCGTGATTTGGTTCTTTGTATCCCTGCCACCTGTTGTAGTTCCTGTCTGTGCCCCCTTCCCCTGCGGAGTGATGACTCCCTCTTCAGCCAGATGTGCCTGCTGCTGGGAGTCACAGCCAGACCTTCGGCACCCAACACCTCCCGCTTCCGGGCCTTGCTCGTGCTGCTCTCCGGCGCCGCGCAAAGGGCACACTCGCAGGCGCCCGCCAGTTCATCCAGCTGACGGGGATCTGGCGAGATCATCATGCTTGTGCGCACGGTTGACCGTTGTTGTCGAGGTCGGTCCGCTGTTTTTCACCTGGACAGCATCCAGGGACCGTCCCCCAAAGCCATCCTCGCCAAAAAAGGCCGCGAAAGTTGACAACGGCCAAACCGACGGGGGCCGGCTCCTTGTGAGAGAGGAAACTTCAGCTGGTTGGCTCCCTTTGTTGGTTTTTGGGCTGCCCCTGGTTTCTCGATCGGAAGTGCTTTTGCGGCTGAGCCACGGATCGCATGGCTCCCGACCGTGCTCGACGGATTGATGTTTGCTGCTCGGACTTCCGTCTGCGTATTGGGCGTCTTGGCGGATTGCTTGGTCAGCACTTGCCGCCTGCGGCGCAGGCTCTCCTCCGTGACCTTGAGGCTCCGGCGCTGCTGCCACAGCACGCGCCGACCTCAGCCTGACGGATTCGACTTCTCCGAGCTGGCGTGTCAGGAGGATGGCAAGGGGCCGCAGCATCAGCTGCCCGCCGCCAGTGTGAGCAGCTGCTCTCCACCTTGGATGCTTCCAGCCAGAGCTTGACAGTGTGCAATTAACACGGCCGTCCCGCCCCTCACACCCAATGCCGTGAAGCTGGGGCCGGGTGACCAACACACACCCGCTTGGCCGACCTCAACCTGGTGGTTGACCACGTTGGCTGAAGAGCAAAAGAGCTGAGGTGCAAGAGTAGCGGAGTTCTTTGCAACGCCCGGCGGTCGTCGCCAGGTTGAGGTCAGGCAGGGGTTGTTGGAAGCACCCGTTCCCCGGCTTCACGGCAGACCCGGCAGCAGCGGCGCACCCACGACTCAGCACGCGTTGCCAAGGTTCCAAACGTCGATGGCGTGGGCAACGGAGCAAGACCGTCCGGAACAAGTGCGAAGGGGCAATATGTTCGGGGGCTGAAAGGACCCTGCTGGCAAAAGGACCTTGCGGGGAGGCTGCCATCTGCAAAAGCAGGGGATAGGTAGAGGAGAACCGAGGCCCACCAAGCTGTCGGACGACTTTGTGCAAACAGGAGGGGGAAAAACCCCAAGCCGAGCGCAGGAGCAACAACAGGACAGGCACGGAGCTGATCAACCTTGATTTCAGCAGAGGTTGGCCAAGAAAGTCTCCAAGCGAAGCACGACAAGCGTGGCAGGCTGGAAAGCGCGCGTTTTTCAGCGTTTGAATGGCGAAGTTCGGCCAAGGCTGCTTCCAACAAAAACCACTTAGGATCCAAAGGCTAAGGCGTTCCTTTTTGCTCGGGCTCCCCAAAACTTGGGGCCTGGTTGGCCTGGGCGAGGGCTCTCGTCTAGTGTTGATTTAGTGAGGCTTGGTTTTTGGCTGATTGCAAATCTTGGCTGCTTTTGTGCTTTGATCCACAGATGGGAACTAACTTTGCGAGCAAGCCAGCAAGCTAGCAAGGACCTTGAGTCAGCTGTCAGCGAACAATCATGTATTGCAGGGATTTACGTGTTCTGGCAACAGCTCGACGCTCTGGACATCGAAGCCGCTGATCCTCCGCCGTTCAACTTGGCTTAGCAAGGCTAAGTCGGTCGCCTTTGAAAGGAAACAAACCAAGAACCCTACATTGTGTCCCCGAGCACAGATTGATTCAGAGTGCACGCGTGTCAAGATTCCTCCATGGCGTGCGTTCGCTTGCTGGATGGCACGCAAGTGGTGACGCCGGCGGAGTTTTCCGCGTGGTGGCAAGAGCCCAATAGGCATGAGCAGAGCGGGTGTTTCGCCGATGCGCTGCGCCGCTATGTTGCTCGAAAGCTGGCTTTGCGAAATTTCCGTCAGATTGCGTTGGCCAGTGGTTTGGGCAAGTTGGGGCCTGAGAGTCCTTGGGAAAATGCGGAGGGCCTGACGGCCTATGTACGGCCGTACGCTGCAAAAGCCGGTGAAGAAGGTTTGATGCCTTGCATGGAATTGCTACAGGCCGCAGGGGCAGGCAACGTGCAGCGTGTGCTGGAGCTGTTGGAGATTCCTAGTGATCCCGACGCGACTGAGAAAGAACAACTCAACACACCACTGCATATTGCTGCGCAAGATGGCTATGAGGAAGTTGTGCGCCTCATTCTAGAAGTTAGTTCCGGTAAGGAAAAGGCAAACAACAATGGCAGTACTCCGTTGCATTGTGCAGCAGGAGGCGGCCATGTAGCAGTTGTGCAGCTTTTGCTAGAAGCCGGCTGCGACAAGGACAAGGCGAACAACGATGGCCTCACACCATTGCATGGCGCGGCGGAGAATGGCCATGCGGCAACTGTGCGGCTCTTGCTGGAAGCAGGCTCGGATAAGGACAAGGTAGATAATGATGGCAACACACCATTGTATGCTGCTGCGCAGACTAATAAAGTGGCAGTTGTGCAACTCTTGCTGGAAGTTGGTTCGGACAAGGACAAGGCCAACAACTATGGCATTACACCTCTGCATTGTGCCGCAGAGATTCCCAATGCGGCAATGGTTCGGCTCTTGCTGGAAGCAGGTTCGGATGTGGACAAGGCAAACGGTGATGGCGACACCCCGTTGTTTATCGCTGCGCAACACGGGTTTTTGTCAGTTGCGCAGCTCTTGCTTGACTCCGGTTCTGACAAGGACAAGCCAAACAATGATGGCGGAGCGCCGCTGTGCATCGCTTCACAGGAAGGTCACGCGGCCCTTGCGCGGCTCTTGCTGGATGCAGGCTCTGACAAAGACAGGGCAACCATCTACGGCACTACTCCCTTGCATTGTTCCGCGTGGAATGGTCATGTGGGAATTGTGCAGCTTTTGCTGGAAGCCGGTTCGGATAAGCACAAGGTAGATAACGCTGGCAACACACCGTTGCATGCTGCTGCAGGAAAGGGCCAAATGGCCATTGTGCGGCTCTTGCTGGAAGCCGGATCCGATAAGGACAAGGCCAACAACGATGGTACTACGGCTTTACATGGTGCTGCATTGCAAGGTCACAGCGAAGTTGTGCGGCTCTTGCTGGAAGCCGGTTCTGACAAGGACAAGGTCACCAGCGATAATGGGACGGCATTGCATGCTGCCGCACTGAACGGTCATGAGGCAAGCGTGCGTCTCTTACTGGAAGCTGGTGCTGACAAAGAAAAATTAGATGTTGACGGTGAACCCCCATTGCATGTCGCTGCACGAAATGGCCATGAGGGAGTTGTGCAACTCTTGCTGGAGGCTGGCTCGGACAAGGACGAAACAAACAAGGATGGCATTACGGCATTGCATTGTGCTGCAGGGAACACCAAGGTGGCAATTGCACGGCTCTTGCTAGAAGCAGGTGCGGATAAGGACAAGGTAGATAACGATGGCGACACAGCGATGCACATCGCTGCACAGAATGGCGACGAGGTAATTGTTCAGCTCTTGCTAGAAGGCGGTTCTGACCAGGACAAGTCCAACAACGATGGCATTACTCCATTGCACTGTGTTGCAGAAAAGGGCCATGTGGCAATTACACGGCTCTTACTAGAAGCAGGTTCGGATAAGGACAAGGTAGATCCTGATGGCGACACAGCGCTGCACATCGCTGCCCAGAACGGCCATGAGGAAGTTGCGCAGCTCTTGCTAGAAAGCAGCTCCGGCAATGACAAGGCCAACAACAAAGGCTTTACTCCGTTGCATTGTGCTGCGGGAAACGGTCATGTGGCAGTTGCGCGGCTCTTGCTAGAAGCAGGTTCGGACAGGGACAAGGCAGATCCTGATGGCGACACAGTGATGCACATCGCTGCACGGAATGAAGAGGAGGCAGTTGTGCAGCTCTTGCTCGAAGCCGGTTCGGACAAGGACACGGCCAACAACGATGGCATTACACCGTTGTATTATGCTGCATTAAATGGCTATGTGGAAGTTGTGCGGCTCTTGCTAGAAGCAGGTTCGGATAAGGACAAGGCAGATAAGGATGGCAACACACCGTTGCATGCTGCTGCGGAGAATGATGAAGCTGTAGTTGTGCAGCTCTTGCTGGCAGCCGGCTGCAACAAGGCCAAGGCAAACAGTGATGGCAACACACCGTTTAGTATCGCTGAAGAAAGTGGCCATGAAGCAGTTGCGCGGCTCTTGCTGCAGGAAGCAGATTGAGACGGCGCACCAATCGATTCTTTTACATGTACATGCATCAAGTCTTTGCTGACATGGATGAGGGGTCTGCGAAACGGCGGCACTCGGCATTTGGATTCTGCGTCTCTCACAATGCAGACCGTCGGTTTGGGAAAGAGAAGGGCAGCTGCAGAGATTGCCCAATTCTCCTGTCCATGTTGCGGCGCGCAAGCAACAGCATTGATTTGTGGAGCCTCTAGCGCCCACTGTAAACAGTTGATGGTGTTAGAATCTGAGGGGCATAGCTCATGTAGATGTGAAAAGGGCCTCATGCAAAACGGGCGCTTCGCGGGCACGCTTGTGTTTTTTTCGCATCAAATTCTGAGAACTTAGTTGCACGCCAGCGGCTGGTGCTTGCTGCAATTGCGTGAGGGTCCACTGTGTATACTAGACGCGTGTTTTGTTTGTTTGTTTGCTTGTTTCTTTCTTTCTTTCTTTGTTTGTTTGTTTGTTTCACAGTGGTGCCATCATATTGTTTTCCCGAGCTTTGGGCTTGCCATTCCAAATGGTTTTATGCTTCCTCTGCAAGTGGTTCCCCGTGTGGGTACGCTTCTTGCTGCATCTCCTTTCATTGTGGCTCGGTGGTCGTAGTGAAATTGTGCGTATGGGCAAAACAAGCACAATACACATCTGAAACCAGTGCCATCATTTGGAGCAGAGCAGGTGCAGCAAAGCTTGACAACCATTCGCAATTGCCAGCCAGCAGCGCTGCCATGTGTCCATGTGGGTTCCATCGCCAATGGAGACACGCTGGGTGCCTGTGCCCAGCCGGTGTGATCTGATTGGATGACTAGTCCAAATCCTCGACTGGTCCCTGGGTGTTGATGTGCAGATGCGATTCCCTTGACGCCGTGCCCTGAGGCATGACGGCGGCTGAAGTTGATGTGATCCCTGATAGTGACAGCGATGTGGCCGAAGTTGTGGACATCACAGTTGACAGCAACTTTGGCAGCACCATACGCGCCTCAGGTGTTTGGACAAATTGTTGGGTCTAACCTAGGTGAAGACGAGGTGACTCGGATGCAACTAGCCACCACGCAAAGCAGAGAGTTACTGTGGCGCAAGCCTGGTATATTTCGTTTTTGTTTTCAATAGCTGGCAGGTGGCAGAAGTGAATTTGTCCGCCTCACCGCCATTGAGTTTCCATGGGTACCGCCGTGGCCGTGAACTTGGCCAAGGGGGGTCCAGCCAGGTCTTTGTTTGCAGCGCCTGGGTTGCAGACGTTTGCATGGCATGTTTCGTTTTCGACCGTGGGCAGTGGGCTCTCTTTGTTTTACCGCCAGGCTCCTGCCGTGCTGTTTCCCCCTGCCAGGCAAAGCGGGCAGCCAAGTGGGTTTCGCAGCCAAAGCCGTCAACCTGCGCCGACTGCAAATGAGTCCAGATGTGGAGCGGGAATGGAAGAAGCTTTGCCGGGAGGCTAGGATTATTTTGATAGCACATAGATTGGACTTTGTGCTTAAAAGCTGGCATGCAGGTTGACATTTGGAAAAAGCTGCCTGTGCACGCCAATGTGGTCCAGCCGCTTGGTTACAGTGATCAGTCCTCATGGCAATGCTCCTGAAAGCAATCTAAACCCATCCAAATATGCTGCCCAATTAAAGCCTCAGAATTCGTGATACTTGGCTTAGGCGGAGTCTCTTTGTACCTGATTGAGCATGAAGGCCGGGAGCCGAGGCTCGTGGATTCCTTCCAAGAAGGAAGTTGGTTTCTGATGGTTCTGGAGTTGGTGGGTGGCGGTGATCTCTTCACGGTCCGAAACTGAGCTGAACGCGGCCGCTGAGTTTTGTACTGTGAAGCGATTACATGCGCGCGTGCCCCTACAGTGCTTGATCGGGGCCACAGGGCAGCACGCCTGGCTTGCCTGGGAAGGAAGATCGCGTTGTTGCAGCAACTAGGGGGCTGAATGTGAGGCGACAGCTGAATCGAGCGTGACGATGCAAATAAGTTAAAGCACCGCCTGCAGAATTAGGAAAGGGCAAATCCCATGACAAAACAAGTCAGGCGGAGTCGAACATGCTGGCGAAGATGAGCCGCACAATTCAACGTAGGAATCCAGTTTGCGGGGTGCGCTCTTAGGGTTTAGGATTGTGTCTGAGAAGTTGGCTCTCCATTTTGAACACTGTCTTGAACGCCAGCCGGACATACAGTGGATGGACGAAATCCTGCACAACCTATGAAACCCTGGAATTATGATTCCCTGCAAATCCAACGAACAATGGTTTCCCATGGTTAAGATGTAACCGACCATGCAACAGCAAAGTTCACCATAGAAAACAAGGGTTTAGGGTTTGGCAGTTGTAATCTTTCGTTCCTGGGGTCCAGGCTTTTAGGGTTTATGGGTCGCAGGGTTTTCTGATCGTACGGTTTCAGGATTTTAGGTTTGAGGCTTGTCCTTCAGAGGTTGCTTCTGCATTTTGAGCATCTTTTCAATCGTCAAAAAGAGTTTCGACTTTAGAAGGCTTGAAGCGCACCTTCTTTACTTTCACACGAAGCAGCCGAGTAATTAGGTGCTTTCTGGATGGAGCGGGGTGGGGAATGCAGATGCTGTTTTCAACGTCTTTGGGTGCTCACAGCTCTTTTTGGAAGCTGGAGGATTCGGCGAACGACTCCATTGCTCCTGAGGTGCTCACCTCGCGCTCGACCTCCCGGTTCTTGGATCGTGAGGCTGCCTTCGTTGGCAATCAGCTGGTGCAGGGACTCGCGTTTCTGCACAGCCAAGGCGCGGAAGAATGGGAGTTGGGGGATGCCAGGCAACCATGCCCATTGCCACTCATGTGTGCGCAGGGTGACTGTTTTGCTCACCAGCCCTCCAGGTGTTGTCCATCGAGACTTAAAACTAGAAAATGTGCTGGTGGCTTCGCAGCGGCGAGCGTATTCCAGCGGCCCATTGCTCTACAGCGCGGCTCGGCAGACAATCCGTAGCCGTAGAGTGGATTGCCGCGGGGGGTGCTGGGAGCTGAATGTGGCCGTCATGGCCTTCAGGTCAAGATCACGGACTTCGGCCTGTCTCGAGCCCCGGCATGCATATCAAGATGACAAGTCTCTCTGGGCTTTGGGTGACTGAAGGGAGGGCTGGGAGCTCGCGTGGCAAAAGGCCGCTCCACGAGTCTTTTCTCAGGGCTCCCTTAGTTCCGCTCGCAGGAGTGCTGGACCCAACCGCCTCCGATGCTCAGTCCACAGTGGGGACACACCCTTACTGTGCGCCAGAGGTGCTTGGCACCTCTTCTGCAAACTAGTTCTTGTCTTTGCTTTCGCTCTGGGTTCCTATTGTGCTAAAAGGCTCACTCCGGAGGCCCGGGGCTCTTTGCGCTTGTGCCAAGGCGACGGCTCACATAGTTTTAGTGCAGATGTTTGGTGCCTGGGAGTGCCTGGCTGCAAATCAGGCTTTTGTGTCGGCCTTGTTCAGCTCTTGGTTCAGGGAGTTTGCTTGTCCCGGCGTGGCCTTTCGCAGGTGCTGCTCTTTGCTTTGCTCTCCGGCCACTTCCCATTCAACGCAATGCCTGGGGAGCAAGCAGACCTGGACCGCATCATTGATAGCTGTTCCGTGGTAGAGGGTGCCAAGGCATCAGCCAAACCGGCGCCCAAATATACCCAGCCCAAGCGCACCAGAACCCACTTAAGCTACGTGCGTTGTTTTTTTGAGGTGGCCCTTTTTGGGGCTGCTTGAAAGGGAAGCCAAACGCAAACCAATGATCAGAAATTCTTAACTTGACCGAGTGCGTGATAGGCGGTGCTTATGGCCTTGCTACAGCTGCAGCCGGCCTTGCGGAGCTCGCTGCAGCGTGTCTGCGCTTCAGTGCTGCATGCGTCCCAGAAAGAAGGGGGCCAATTTGAAGCGGGTCTCCTGCAGATGGGGTTGTGTTTGAAGGCGGCCAGCACACTTTCATTGCCCCAGGTCGGACCTTTCCAGCCACCAATGGTTCCAGGAAGAGGAGTGGGAGACCATGAAACCTCTCAAACGTCACCGTACGCTGTCAAACAGCAACTCAGCCAGCACTAAATTGAGCTATAGATGGCAATCGGCCCACGGCCAGAGCATGTGACTCGCGGCATGCTAAGAGGGCAAGGATTCAACGATTGTGGACCACCTCGGCTGCACTGCCGAGTCTCAGCACCGGGCATTTTGAGGCGACGTGGGCGGCAACCCTCCAAGCATTTCCAACATGGAGGCGTGGGCTTTCTAGCAAAGAGCTCGGTACAGCTGTGGCTGGCTACAGGCGATCCCTCCGGTCAATGGCCAATTGGCCGCGCACAAAGCGCTGCCCTCAGAGATGTCTGACGTCCGGAGGGTTATGCTATTTGATGTGATAATATGTATTTATGTGCATATTATGTTTGCGTGCGCGGGCGCCCAAGGTTGCTGCTTCGCCAGTCTTGGAGGAGGTGGACACCTCCCAGCATTCGCCAGTGGATTCACCTTTCCCATGCTTCTCGCCCAGAACTTGTCACAGGTGTCACGTGGTGTGCCATGCAAAACATGGTTGGCTTGCTGGCAGGGTGTCCGAGTCGGCGGAAGCGTGGCCGCTGTAGGAAGAACCCCGACACCCAACAAAGGAGCCAGTGTCCATGGGGAGATGTGCTCAAGATTTGCGAGTCCTTGGCTTAGGCTCGCCGTTTCCTTGCGAGTCGCCTATGCCATGTCCGTCTCCCTTGCCTGGTGCTTTGGATGCTGAAGGACGCCGGGTGCAAGAGCAGCTGCCTTTTGTTGCGGTAAAGGCGAGGGGCGCCACATGCTTGCTTGCCTTGCCTGCCTGCTGCTTGCTTTGCCTGCCTGCCTGCCTGCTTGGTTGGTTGCTTGCTTGCTCGCTTGCTTGGTTGCTTGCTTGTTTGCTAGCTAGCTAGGTAGCTTGCTTTGCTACTTTCTTTTGTGCTTGCTCGCCAGCTTGCGTTCTTAGAGGTCCGGCTTGTTTGCTTGCTTCGCCTTGCTTCGCTTTGCTTTGCTTTGCTTTGTTTTGCTTTGCTGCGCTTTGCTTCGCTCCTTTTTCGCATTGCGTAATTTGTTTTACTACCATGTTGCTGTCTTGCAGTATCAGCTGCTTATTTGACATTCTGCTTCCTTTGCTCTTCGAAGCCATGGCTGTAGCCATATCCTTCAGGAGTAGCATCGCCTGGAGTTTGGACGCCTTTTGCGGTGGAGGTTGCTGTAAAGCTCAGTGACGTGCAGTCGCCCAACGACCTGCAGTCAGACCACATGCAGGATTGCTCTTCCTGCACAGTCTTGCAGTTGATGTCGCGATGCTTCCTCCCTGAAGGTTCATATGGTCGTTCCAGACCGCTATGCGGGCTTCATCCTGGGCAAAAATGGCACACGCATCCAGAAGACTGCGTTGAAAAGCGGATGCAAGGCTTGGCATGTGGAGAATCACCGCACCTGAGCTTGCTTGAATGACACGCACGCTTTGGTCTTGTGAAGGTTTGGATGACATCCAGAAATGGCTCCAATGATAGACGTGTCATCATGATCGGGAGCTACAAGCACCACGGCTCAGACTGCCGCATGGTTCCTTTAAGCCTCTAGTGGCCAAGGCAGTGCAAAGTCGCACAACAGCTTGTCCATGAGCAGCTGTCGATACCTGATTGCACTCAGCCTAGCCGGTGGGGTGTTTTGAATTGCTATTTCGGCCTTGCAGCATTGCTAAGCCGCCCCTGTTTGGAGTTGGATGTCCGCGCAAGGAGTTTTGCATGCTTCAGCATTTTGCATGAAGTTGTGGGTGGTGCGAGTGGATCCTGAGGACGGCCATGCAGGTTGAATGGCAAGACGCACAAGCTGACATACTCGTGTTTGTGCGGTCGGAAGCAGCTGGGATGGTCACTGGCAAGCAAGGCGCCTCCAAGTTGGAGATATTTGTCGGTAGCATCACGGTGCATACCGTCACCGCCAGGCTTCGTTCTGAATCAGATCCGAAAGCAGTCTGGAGCACAAGTGCAGCTGTTGAGAGATGAAGTGCAGAGCACACGCCCCTGCACCTGGGATGCGGTTGTTGCGATCGTGTGCGTTCACTGCTTTCAGTGCTTGTGTGTCCGGTGCCCACATTGTGAGTAGCTCAGGTATCATCAGCGGAACACTGCAGAGCATACTTAAAGCGCAGAAGCACATTTTTGAATTGGTGTTGCTTGGTTGCATGTCGTACCGACAGTGAAGCAGACATGATGCGCCGGTTGGAGAGTGCGCATGCGCACAGCCGCTTGCAACTTGGATCTTCATGCCAGCATTGCAAGCCAAGTACTGAGGCGGGCAGTGCCAATTGTGACAGGCCCCACCGCAGTAGGCACAGGTTCCTCCCATGGAGCCAAGTGAAGATCCGGCCGTGCAGACAGGCCGTTGAGCCGGACAAGTGGAGGGTCTATTCGCTTTCCTTTTGAGCAAGTGCGAATGGACACGAGATGACAAAAAAAAGAAAGCAGCCGACGCTCCTCTTGGCGCCGCGCCTTTGCCCGGTTCCAAACCTTCGATTTGCATCTTGGGAATCTTCTTTCATCCGCTTGGAATCGCGGCTGTGTAGCACGCTAGTCCACTGCATGGCGATTTGTAGACGTGTAGGTCTTGGCCAGATGAAGCTTCAACAGGCATGACCTTTGCTGCAAAACATCAGGCCAGGAGCTTAGCTGTGCCGGGACCTGCATGGTGTAAATAATGTGCCACGGCACTGACGTATGCTGTACAGTTTTCCGCTCTAGCTGCAGATGCCTGCGGGGTGGCTCTCAGCGCGTTGAATTGACTGAGGGAAGTAGCTGACGTGTGTACTTCCGCAGCATTGGTGAAATTGGTGCAGAGCTTTTGACATGTTGCGGGCATGCTGGCGTTTGGGCACCTGAGAAGCTGACCAATGCCCATCCCGTGGATCGCTCATATCACTGGCTTGAAGCTCAAGCCGATGTGGGGTCAGGGGATTGGGGAGGGCCCATGGGGGACGAGCTTCGAAATGCACAGGACCACGAACTCCAGGCGGAGATGGAGCTTCGCAGCCAACTGGAGCAGGCTGCAGATGCTGCGGCGCAACCGCTGAGCCCCATGAGCCCCAAGACGGCCACGGTGGTGCTCAGCCCAGACGCGCTCAGCCCGGATGCGAGCCCCGGCGCGTTCTTGGCACCCGGTCGAAGCCACGAGCAGAGTAGCAGCCGAGTGAAGACAACTGCCGGCCTCACTCCGCGGCCGCGGCCCCAGGAGGCCATTGAGCGTGAGGAGGAACTCATCGAAACTCATAGCAGGGCGGCAGAACGGAGTAGTTGGAATCCGGAGTGGGAGACCACCGGGGAGTCGTGGAATGCGCGCCATCACCTGGCCTACTGCAATGATGAGATGAGCCAAAACACGAGATGCTACTTTGACCGGTGGCTGGACCATAGGGAGCTGTTGCCGGAGGACGACTTGCAGGTCCAGAAGCCGACTTGGCGCTTGGAGCCTGAGGCGCTCAGCAATGAGGAGCGGCAGGCCGAGAGGTACGCCGGCACGGTGTACTCTCCTACCGGCCCTGGCCTGAGGTCCAGTGGAAGCCTCCCGTGCCTGAGAACAGAGGACTTGGCCAAGGAGAGCATCACCCGGCGGCGTGCCACGCGGGTATCACGTGACAAGCCCTGGGTTACAAGACCCACCCGCTTCTGGGAGCTGCTGAAACAGGAGCCATGCGAAGAAGAAAAGTCAAAGAACACCATCAGCACCCAGACAAATTTCCCCAAGCATGAGGTGTCCAACAAGGAGAAGGAGCGGCAGTGGGACGGCCACCACCACGCCGTGTGGAGTAACTTCCAGAACCTGCAGGGTACCATTTTGAACCCGGCGCCTGTGCGCTCCTACTTCGACCGGCCCAGGGAGCCCGACATCGGCTCCCGCAGTGCAGAGAAAAAGTCAGGGAATGCCAAGGAGGCGGGGGGATGGGGCAAGCAGTCATGTACGGACTGGAACAAGATCAGCATCGTTGATCATCTTTGTCCCTTCAAGAGCGATCTGTTTTACGAGCTCGTTTCAAGCCCCGAGGGCGTGACGCGGATTCTGCCGCTTTGGCGACTGGAGCCCCTCCCGGACACGTCCGTGGTGGATTTGCCCGAGGGCAACTTGTGGCCCTCGGAGCCGCCACTGGCCTCCCGCACGGGATTCCCGGTGCTGCCACGGGACGAGGTGCTAGGTCCTCGGCCCCTCGGCAATCGTCGGCTTTGGTCGGCTACGGGGCTGGCGGGTGTCTCGACGTTGGGCCCAAACCAAAGGGGAAAAACGCCATTTGGGAGGTGGCTTGATTCAGCATGGCAGTTTGACGAGCTCCTAAACCGAGAATCGCACATTGTATTGATGTTGTGAGCTCCAGGCACGAAGCTGCGCCAGAGTTCAACCACAAGTCCACTTGGAGCTGCCCGCCCCATGCTCAGATGAATTCAGGTCTCAGTGATGCTCGTGGAAGCCCCGACTTTTGATTCAGGTCTTTGCTCACAACCTTTCTCGATGAGGATTTGGAGAAGCGGAAAGAGAGCTGGAATGGAAGACACCAGCAACTTGCCTGACTTTGCGACAACATCGATGGGTGGGTCTGTCAGACATTGCTTCAGGCTGACTTTTCAGAACGAGGACCGACATTGACGTGACAAGCTGCCTTGCACACTGCACGAGTGGCAGGAAGTCTCCAGACTGGACCGGTCTTACTTTGACCGCTTCCGGGAGCATGACTTGCTGCGTAAGAAAGGCTCCCCCAAGCATGAGCCTTGCTCCGCGGCTCGGCTGCAAGTGGGTTGGCTCATGTGAACAGTTGGCTACATCGCTTAGCGATATGATTTTGGTCGAGTGTGCGGCTTTGATTCTAGGTGTGGAGCCTCGGCAAGGACACCTCCACCCAGGAGCGCGGGGGAAGTGCACCGTGCCATTTTGCAAGAAGCGTTTCCTGTGAGGATTCGGTCCAGACAATGCTCTCCAGCAGCAACCGTCGCTTTGGCAATGACGGCCGGTGGATGTGACTCGGCACATGGGACAGAATGCAAATTCTGTCAACAGGCTCTTGGTGAGATGAGTGCAGGCATCGCCATCAGCTGATCTTTGACAATGCCAGTGGAAGGCTTTGGCACTTGCAGCTTGCTTCTACCCCTCCAACTCCTCAACTCCTGCAACCCTTTGCAGGTTGCCAGTGCAGAGGAACTTGCGTGCATATTTTGACCGCAACAGGGACTTTCCGAGTGAGGCAAGCGCCTTGACGAGCTTGCTCCAGCATGCGGCCTTCCACACTGCCTGAGGCAAGCTCCTTCTTGGAAGAAGTGCAGGATGAGGCTTGGATGCCGAAAGGCAGGAAGGACTAGTCTGCACTTGCCCAGGATGCAGCCTTCAAGCTTCTTACCAGCTCTGCCCTGCGCAAGCGCCGGCGCAGCTTGGCTGAAATCGCTTGATACCTGCTGGAGTGGCCGGACATGCGGCAAGCCCTCACAACATGACGAGTGCAAAGACCTCTTTCTGAAGAGGTGAGGTGGGGAGAGCTTAGAAGAGTTTCAGCCAGGATGCATGCAGAAAAATGTTTGCGGGCTACTTCCATTTTCTGGCACGGCCATGAACAACTTTGCATCAGGTCTCGTTCAGGCAATCATTTGTGACAGCTGTAGTTATGCCTATTTGGCTCAAGAGATTGGTCTAAGTGGCTGGTTGAAAATTTCATTTTCCCGGCCCACCCCAGTCGACGGCCCCCAGTGGAGTTACCCTCCACTGAATCAGCCCGGGACCTGCACAGAAGATTGCCTGTGACCACCTGCAGCCTTTTACGCAGGGTGAGTTTCTGCGTAACTCGGGGACCTGCGCTGCAGACAGGGAGCGGCTTTGCATGGTGCCTCCCTCTTTCAAAGCAAGTGTGAACCTGCTAGGCTGGTTGGGCTTACCAACGCGTTATCCCGCGGGTGGCACAGGTTCTACGCACGACTATTGGCTTCTTTGAGCGAGGAATCAAAAAGGGATACTAGCTCCGAATGGCTAAGGACACCGTATGGGGTTGAAGCTTCGCTGCTTGTAGGAATGATAGCGATGCAGCTTTGCCGACCAGGTTCTGCCCCGCCCTTCATTTGGGCCTCCCAGCACCAAAGAAACAATTGATTTCCAATCTCATACCATGGGCTACACTTAAAACTTTCGAGCCTCCGGCTCACTCCGCCGACATTGTCCTCTCCCTTTTCTCCTTCTTCACCTCTCTCCATTCTCCTCCCCGTGTGTTCCCTCGTCCTCTCTCCCTCCCCCTCCTCCCCATCATCTCAACATCCTCCCAATCCTCTCTCTCTCTCTCTCCCTCTCTCTCTCTGTTTCCTTCTGTCTTCCTCTCTCCTTCCTCTCTCTGCCTCTCTCTCTCTCTCTCTCTCTCTCTCTCTCTCTCTCTCTCTCTCTCTCTCTCTCTCTTGCTCTTTTGTCTCTCTCCCTCTCCCTCCTCTCTATGTCTCTATCTTTCTCTACCTCCTCGCTATGCCTCTTTCTCCCAACCCCGTTTCTCTGCCTCCCCTCCCCCGCCCGGTCGCTGCATCTCTCTCTCTCTCTCTCTCTCTCCCTTTCCTCTCTCTTTCCTTTCTCTTTCCTCTCTTTCCTGTCTGTCTCTCTCTCTCTCTCTGTCTCTCTCTCTCTCTCTGTGTCTCTCTCTCTCTCTCTCTCTCTTTCTCTCTCTCTCTCTTTCTCTCTGTCTCTCTCTCTCTCTGTCTTTCTCTGTCTCTTTCTCTCTCTCTCTCTCTCTGTCTCTTTCTCTGTCTCTTTCTCTTTCTCTATCTCTTTCTCTATCTCTTTCTCTGACTCTTTCTCGCCTCTGTGTCTCTCTGTGTCTCTCTGTGTCTTTCTGTGTCTCTTTGTCTCTCTCTCTCTCTCTCTCCCTCCTCTCTATGTCTCTCTCTACCTCCCCATTATGCCTCTTTCTCCCCACCTCGTTTCTCCCCCCCCTTCCCCGGTCGCTGCCTCTCTCTCTATCCGCTCTCTTTCCGCTCTCTTTCCGCTCTCTTTCCGCTCTCTGTCCTCTCTTCCCTCTCTCTCTCTCTCTCTCGCTCTCTCTCTCTCTCTCTGTCTCTCGCCCTCTCTTTCTCTCTCTCTCTCTCGGTCTCTCTCTCTCTCTCTATGTCTCTCTCTCTCTCTCTCTCTCTCTCTCTCTCTCTCTCTCTCTCTCTCTCTCTCTCTTTCTCGTGAAAATACGTTGATACTTTACTTCTAGTGCAAGTGTTGTCCAGTTATCACAAACACAAATGTAGTCAGCCAGCATGCACTCTTTTCCTGGTAGACTCAAGGCCTGCTGTCGGGTAGTGTACATCATGCATGCACAAGTGACAAGTAGTGCAACATGATATTTGACACGGCCCCTTGGTTAAAAGACCTTGTAGTGTCCTTTAACCATAGACCCAAAAGGTGGTATTGACAGTAGTGGCAAAAAACGAATGCACATGTTGTTTGCCGATGCTACTGTAGCGAACAGGCATGTAGTCTCTTAAAAAAGATGACCGAAGGTAGGTATCTACAGCGCTGCTGTCTGTAGTTCAACTAACCTTCAAATGATCAGAAAAGTGAAATTGCTGTACAAGAACCCTAGTTGTTTCCCTAGTTGGTTCTCAGTCATCTCGTAGTACGATGACGTAGTACAGCACGTAGTTGCAGCTCCACCTGGAGATCAGGTGTGCTTAGTCCAGTGTTGGACTCGGTAGTTCTGGACTTGGCTGATGCGGTAGTCCAAGCCTGCATAGTGGTTGGTAGTGAATGTGTTGAGGAAGTCTGGACCGCCGCGAAGGCGGTTGTAGTCGCATTCCGGTGGTGCAAGTGCTTGGCCGGTGGTAGTGAGGTAGTTGTGGAGTAGTAGTTTGTGTTGCATGGAAAGATTTGTAGCCGTGAGGAGGGTGATGCCGTAGTAGGTGACACTTTTGTGTAGCATCGTGTTGATGGACTTGTAGTGGTGGTCTTGAAGTTGTTGTGGTTGGTCGAAGTAGTTGAGTAGTTCTGGTAGGTACAGGGGCATGTGATAGTTCCAAATGAAGTTGTTGGACAGGTTGAATGTAGTGGTGATCTGGTCCAAGTTGTAGGTGATTCGGTGTAGTCGTTGATGTAGCTGGCGTGTAGATGGAAATCATGTGGCTCACGTAGTCGCGGCAGAAGTTGACGAGTTGTCCAGCGCTGACAAATCGTAGTAGAACTTCTGGTGGAATGTGTAGTTGGATGATGACCATCGAGTTGGGGTACTGGGTTGTGAGGTGTAGTGATGTAAGGTTGTAGTAGTAGAAGTTGACTGCCTCTGAAAGACGTAGGTGAAGAGGTAGTGAGTCGTAGTGTGGCATCCGTAGGTCTGAAGGTAGGTCGTGAACTGGTAGGTTGTAGTTGAGCTCGGGGATGGGTGTAGTTTGTTGTTGACTTAGTAGTTGGAACTCCTCGAGCGTCAAAGCCGCGTAGACCCTGAAGTAGTTCTGCTCCGGGTCGATCGCTGGAGTGTCGGGGATGTTGTTCTCAGTTGTAGTGAGGTGTGCCAAGATGTCGTCGGGTCTGTAGAAAGGTGCCGGTGTGGGTAGTTGGTGATTGAAGTTGTAGTTGAGGGAGTTGTAGGCCTCAGGTGGTGGAGTGGCCAAAGTAGCCATGCTGCCGGAGTCGGTAGTGCCCTGCCGATCCGGTGGTGTGAAAACACGGTCCGGTGTAGTACTGCCAGCCTGTTGTTCGACGGGCAGAGTAGTCTCTGGCGCTGATGTAGTCACCTCCATCGGCATGACATCCAGCGTAGTCGCATCCATGGGCGTAGTTCCAGCCATTGCTGGTAGTTCGGCCTATCGAGATGCAGTGAAACGGGGCAGACAGTAGTGAGCCAATGTTAGCTCACAAGAGCACACGCGGGCATGTAGTAAAACACAAAACAACATGTAGTGTTGACTCAAGCCGCCAAAAGCCGCCAAAAGTGCAAGTGCAAATTACTGGTGGTTACAATTACTATTACTTGTAGTCACTGTTACTGTTACTGTTACTTAAATGCAGGTAGTTACATATGGCCATACACAAACTGTTGTGATTGATGTGCAACAGTTGTGAAACAGTTGTTGTTCGTAGTGCTAAACACGTATGCCAATGCTCTGTATGAGCCTCTGTAGTGTTTCTTTGCTAATGTATTTTGTGAACAAGTCTGAGCTGTTGTGTAGTGTGTTGATTTTGAGAATTCTGATGATGTCGTGCTTGATGAGGTCTTGTGTGTAGAGAAATTTAGGGTCGATGTGTTTTGCTCGTTTGCTAGTGCCTTGTCGTGTAGCAATGCTCTTGCCTGCTGTGGAGTCTGTGTGGATGCGTAGATTTAGCTTGCTGCAAATGTTGGTTTCAAGTAGGAAGTTTCTGAGGTGTAGTCCCTCATTGACTCCTGTGCAAATGGCGTAGAGTTCAGACTCTGCTGAGCTGAGTGCTATTGTAGCTTGTGTTCTGCTGCCAAATGCAACTGTTGTTCCTAAAAAGATGATGTTGAAACCTGAAGTTGATTTCCTGGTAGTAGGGCATCCTGCCCAGTCGGCATCGACATGAACGTCGAGATCCAGGATGTTGTTGGCGTTTGCTCTGAGTGTTGTTGTTGGTTCTATGGTGAATTTGTAGTGCTTGGTGCCGTTCAAGTAACGTAGTAGATGTTTGACTCTCTTTTGTGAGAGTTCTGTAGGTGCTGTGAGGTCTCGTGCTAGTTCTTTTGTGGAGTATGCGATGTCTGGTCGTGTGTATGCTAACCATTGTAGTTTGCCAACAATCCTTCTGTACCTTTTGTGTTGTTCGTGGTCAAGTCGTGCTTCGTCTTCTATTGTCGGTTTGTAGTGTGCAATTCCTGGAGTGTTCACTGGGTTGCAGTTGTTCATTCCAGACTCCTCGATCATGTTGTCGATGTAGGAGTCCTTTAGTCCCAGGTTGCAGTAGTTGCCAAAGTGGTCGATGTTTCTTCCAAGAAATTGTTGTGGTTCGAGGTAGCCGATGTGCTTGAGTAGGACCTGCTTCTGGATGGCCTCGAAGGTGGAGTCGACAGTAATCATCCACGTAGACCATGATGTAGCAGTCGCGAGTTGCATTGGTGTAGACGTTAGGTTCTGACTTTAGTCTTACAAAGCTGAGCTTTTGTAACACTTCAGCCAGGTAGTCCTGCCATGCTTTTGGTGAACTGCGTAGTCCATACATGGCTTTCTTTAATCGCCAGATTTTGTCCTGTTGTGGACAAAGTTCTTTAGGTGGCCAAAGGAGACGTCACGTTGTTTATCGTCGTGGTCTTTTGCGATGGGTGCGTGTAGAAATGCTGTAGAGACGTCACCTAGTCGCGCGATCCAGTTTGGTCGTGACATTTGTAGTGCGAGAAGTGTCCGGAGTGTCGTGAACATTGGTGTAGAGGCGTAGACGGAGTCTTCGTCCTCGATCTTCTCTGTGTA